GGAATACGTGTCTCACGGCCGTTCCTGTTGTTCTAAATGTCAAGGCGAGTATCAGTTTGTTTTTCTGATGGCGGTGTACGTGGTACTGATGATGGTCATGGCTATGGTCGTGGCAAATCTACAGTCAAAGGAGAAGGAACTTCGTTCGATGCTGAACTCGAACGGTTTGCTGCCCTTTTCCCTGAACGTGCTGAAGCTCTACGCGGTGCTGGCGGTGCTGTTCCACCTCCGCCGCACGAAGTACCCGCCTCTTCAGACAACGACCTGGATAAGAAGGTGGCGAAGCGTCGCACTGCCCTCGCCATGGCCGTTGAACGAGATTCTAAAGCTGAGCGGCTGGCTATGTGCGATGTCGAGCAGAAGTTGGCTGCAGTGGTTCGTCACAAAGAGGCTTTGGTCAAGGCTGAAGCTTCCCATGCTGAGGCGGTCGGTCAGCTCGAGCAAGCCGCAGCTGCCCATCGTGCCGCATATGAAGAGATGGATTCTTTTGACCCAGTGGAGTATCGTAAGCAGATATTGGCCGACGAACAGGCTGAGCGAGAAGTGTTCATTCGTGCCCAACGTGATGCAGCTGCTGAAGCTGCACGTGCTCAGGCTAAGCAACCTCAACAAGCGGGTGCTGGTGCTCGTGCTGGTCCTGTACATGGCGCTGCTCCTGCTGGTGGTGGCGACCGTGAGGCACCCGCTGGTCGTGAGCCTGGGCAAGTACCTCCTGTCCCTGCTAATCTACAGGGTATGGATGAGACTGCCCTCCGTGACTGGTGCACCCAGCACCACCAGCGCTACGAGTTCTGGCAGCAGATCAAGGCCTTCCAAGCTCAGATTGATGATGATGCTATGTCTGACGCCCCTAGTGAGGCCACGAATGACGACGCCAGAGTGGAGCTCGATACCCTCAAGAAGCGTAGCATCGACAATGCACTCACGCCTGAAGAACTGGACAAGATGGAGAAACTCATGCAGAAGCAGTCCCAGATCAAGGCAGCCAAAAGGTTACGTACCGTTCGCGAACTTGCAGCGGCTTCATTTGAACGAGTTCTTCAACATATGTAAGCAGGCGGACCTTGTGGGCCACCAGCCCCCTGGCCAGCGTCAGGCTCAGATGGGCTACCGCAGTGCTCCTAGCGCCATCCTTCCTCACCTACGGGACCGGCGACAACTAGGGCATTGCAGTGCGTCCAGAGGTCGTTCAACGTCTGGTGAGATCAACCTTCATTTCTGCAATATTACTTCATGGAACGAGGTCGCCCTGAATTTCTGCCAGGAGCTCAGGCCGATCTCAGACGGTTTTCTTTGTAGAGACACATATTCGGCAGGAAGCTGCGAAGAAGGCAAAGCGCAATGCTGCGCAGATCGGCGGGAGGCCGCACTTTTACCCTGCCCTCCCCTCCCCTGGAGGGGGAACGCACGGAGGAGTAGGAGCTGTTGTGTCCAAGGACTTGCGTTTCGGCGTTTCTTGGCCTCTGAGAAAGGCCTCCAGGATGTGGGTTCTGGCCCCAATTGGTTTTTCCTGGAATTAAGAACTCAGCGAGCTGTCATCGCTGTCGGCGCGATTTACCGGATTTCGGACCTGGGTGTCTGTGGGGAGAATATCGAAAGTCTTCGTTCCGTCTCGGAGTTCTCGGGTACGCTATCTATCCCTTGGTGTTTGATGGGCGACTTAACATTCCTGCCAATGATCTTGATCTCAGTGGATTTCCTCAACTTGCTCGAGGCCGAGTGTGCGCTCCGTCTGATGTTGAAGTTACTTGCACACAGGGCAGAGGGTCTATGATTGATTATGTGGTTGCCTCTAATGATTTGGCGTATCTGTTGGATGTGAAATCTTTCGGCCCCAACCCATTCAAGACCCGCTGCTGTCTGTCTGTTACTTTGAAGCACGAGGCTCTGGAACAAGAAATGTGGCAGACATGTCGTCCACCTCAGTTCGCTGTTTGTCCTGGACCTGACCTTCCTTGGGGGGCCATTCTGGAGCGTGTTGCTGACCCTGGCCCTCCTCGGGCCCCTGGATTTATTGGTGATGTTTTGATTGGACATGTGGCGGACCATCTCTCCACGAATATTTCGTCTGCATATTTGCTCTGGTCTCGAGCTACTGAGTGGCTTTATGCATCCCGTGCCTGTGCTGTGGTTGACGATTTACCTGACACACATAGAGGCGACTTCCCTACCTTTCGGAAGAATAACATCAGGAGACGCGGCCCGATTGGACAGAGCTTTCGTTCTCCTGGACTGGCTTTCTGGACTCATCTTTCTCAGAAGTTGTGGGAATACCGCCTCTATACTGCTCGCAAGTCAAAGTGCATTGTCACTGGCTTAGTTAGCGTCCTCCAAGGCCTAGCTGACAAGATTTCTGCATTTTTGTTGGCCGACGACGTTCGAGGCATCGACTGGTGGCAGGCTCAGCTTAGTTGCCCGCCTACCCAGATTGGTGCGATTGACGATCTATCGGCCGCTGTCTCAGCCTCTCTAGCGTCCGCCTGGCGTGAAGCTAAGGCTACTTCGAGAGCCAACGTGAAGAATTGGCTCCTTCGCGCTCTGCCACGAGGTGCTAAGAGAGTCCACGATTGGTTGAAATACGATCTTGGAGAGCCCCCTGAGGTGTTGGTGACCCCTACCCATATTCGTCAGCTCCCTGCTGACTTGCTCCAGTACCGTGAACAATACTGGCGTGGCGTTTGGACGTCCGACCCTTGGGCCCGACATAACTTCTCATGTGTGCTGGACTCCCTTAGGCCCCGCGCCCTTGAGGCTGTTCAATTGGTAGACCCTCTGGAGGTCAGCGATGTTCAACGCGCTGCCCGCTGTTTCTCTGCTACCGCCGCTGTGGGCGTTGACCACTGGCATCCGCGGTCGTTTCTGAACATGCCTAGGGGTGCTGTCATGGGGTTCACTACTCTCCTCAATCAGTGCGAACTGGGCCTCATGTGGCCTGCCCAGTCGCTTTTGAGTTTAATCGCGTTGATCCCCAAGAGTGTTGAATGTGATCGTCCTATTTGTAAATGCCCTACCATTTATAGGATCTACTGTAAAGCTCGCAATCATCATTTGGACGACTGGACAGCCGAAAGGTCAAATTTTTGGGACACGGCAATGAAAGGTTCCAGCGCCCCTCAGGCGGCCATGTTGCGAGAAGTCGGCCATGAGGTCGCTCGGTCTCAAGGCGTGTGCTCTGTGGGGGCCCATTGGGGCCTGAACAGATTTTTTGACTCTATTGATCCTCATCGCCTGGTCGGATTTGCCATGAATGTGGACTACCCTGTTCACCCCTTGTACTTAGGTATCCTCGTCCACGCTGCTCCCAGGGCGTTGGAGGTCGGAGGCTTTGTGTCCGACACCGTTGCGCCAGAGTGCAGCATTTTGGCTGGCTGTATGCAGTCTATGAGTTGGGTTAAGATTTACATTTACGAGTTGCTGGACACTATGCATGTGCATTTCCGTCCCGTGGCTATTAAGGGATATGTGGACGATTTGACCCAGTCTCAGCTAGGTTCCCCCGAGGATATCTTGAGCTACCTGGCCCCTTCTGCTATGTATCTTACTCATGAGCTACAACATTTGAAGTGTATTATTTCGGATAAATCTACCTTAGTTTGTAGTCATCTCGAACTTGGTAAGGAATTGCAGATACGTTTTCAGTCCATTGGTTTACCCATCAAGCTTGCAGAGGCTGCTCGCGACTTGGGGGTCATGACTACGGCAGGTAAACGTCGTTTTACTGCCAAGCTTCGGCTCCGACGCGCTCAGGCCTCCAAGAAGGCCAGGAAGGTTTCGTTTTTGTCTCGGCTGGTTGGGTCCGCCCGCAAGTTGTACAAGCCAGGTGTCCTGGCTGTGGGGTCCTGGGGCCATCAGGTCCTGGGCCTGTCTCCTGCCCAAATTCGCTCCTTTCGTGCGCAAGCGGCGACTTGCTCGGGGCACTGGGTCCCAGGTGCCTGCACTACTACTGTTTTGGCTCTTGTGAGCCCTGCCAAGGATGACACCCAGTTTAGGCTCCGTTATGAGCAGTTGGTAGCTTTCGCCGACGTCTGGGACGATTTGAATCACCAGATGCGTATGCAAGTGGCTCAGTCATGGGCTACTACCGTTCAGGCCTTCGGACATGCCAAGCATCGCTGGCAACGGGTTCGGGGCCCTATTGCTGCTTCAGTGGCTGTCCTGATGGACCTCAGGATTGCCCCTATCAGCCCTGTTTTCTGGCGCCTGGAAGATGACACTGATCTGCGGATTGCCGGCAGTCAGTTTCCTCGCGCTCTGTGACAGGCACTTCTGCGAGTTTGTGGCCAGATGTCCTGGCCCGCTGCTTCTGCCCATTACCTTGGATCAGGTTTGGAAGGAGGAGTTGATTTTACTGGCATTCGGAGATTTTTGAGGAAGCTTGAAAAAAGATAACTCGCATGAATCTGCTGGGATGCTTCGGAATGTTTTAACGGGTGGCTTTTGGACAGAGGATCGAATTGCCCAGTCGGGCTATGATTCCTACACCAGAGGCGTTTGCCCTAGGTGTGGTGCGGCGGCCGAAACTGCGGCCCATCGTTTTTGGGGCTGCCCTCGCAATGCTGATCTGCTGGACAGCTCCATTGACAAAACAAGCCACCTTGTGTCCGAAGCTCTCTCCCAACATGATAAGTGTGCCTTTTGGTTACGTGGCCTTCCCCCCCTCGTTGGTTCCGTCGGCCACCTCCCTCCCCCCCGTGCCCTGTCGCGGTCCTGGGGCCGCTTCTTGAACGGGGATAAAGTTCATGGAGGTGTCTGGGGAATTGATGGTGCTGGGGGTAAGAATTATAAAGATTGGCGCCTGCGGAGGTGTGGCTGGGCCGTCGCCCATTTAGGTGCCCATGGACTTTTTGATGGAGTGGCCAGCGGTGCCTTGCCAACTAAGGCGCAGAACGCTGGCCGCGCTGAACTCTTCGCCTTGCTCGAGCTTGCAAAACGTTCTACTGGCGATATTCGTGTGTACTGCGATAACCTGTCTGTCGTCAAGGGCACCCGCAAGACCCTCAAGGCCAAGAGGGAATCAGCTTCTCTCGATCTGTAGGCCCAATATCATGATGTGATGATGTCCCGAGGAGGAACGATCGATGTTCGATGGGCGAAAGGGCACCCCACCCAGGCCCAATGTCAGGATCTGGTTTTAACTGATGTAGAAGTTTATTTACATATGTCCGCATATATTTTCGCGGGCAAGGCCGCTGACGCAGGTGAGATCCCTGAGGAACTTGTGAGGAGGACCCTTCACGCTGACGAGAGTGTTAGCCTCGCCCTCTGTCGCCTGTTGTCTGTGCAGCGTGAATGCCTGTTTTTGTCCCAGCGTGAACGTCCTGAAAGGGTCTCCCGAGAACGTTCCAGGAAGATCTCTGCGTTGCAATAGCGTTGTAACAGATTGCGGTCTCAGGGACATTCTTTGCTTGTTCGTCCCTCTATCCTCAAGTGCACTCTCTGTCATCGCTCTTTCCAGCGGGTAGGCCAGCTGTCCGAATTCTGGCCTAACCCGTGCAAGCCTCGTGCTGTGGTCCAGCAACGAGTTCAACGTCTTCTTCCTCGACCCCCCTCCCCTCGAGGCACTGCGTCCGCAGGCGCCCCTGCCCGTGTGCCTGATGATCTAGGCCCGCCGACGGGAGGGGGTGGGGGCGGGGAATCTGCTCTCGATCATCCCTGTGGGGAATTCGTCCACCCCTCCCATCACCTTGCCTGTTTTCGAGGTGTGCTCTATTGTGAAATATGCGGGAGGCATTGTGTGGAAGTCCCTCGGGACCTGAAGAATTGGTGTGAGCCTCCCACGAAAGCTGGGAAGGAGGTTTTGTCTCGATTGAAGCGTGGCCTCCCACCTAAATCTGGTGGCAAATTTCCTGAGGTCTAATTGTGTGTGAAGCGTGCCCTTGCCCCGCAGCAGGTACACGCGCCAGGAGATATACTAGAATAGAACAGACCTTTCTTTGCTCCCGGGCCAGGCCCGGCTATAGGTCCTCCTCCTCCTGCTCCTAGTCATCCTCCTCCTCCTCCTCCTGCTCCTCCTCCTCCTCCTCCTCCTCCTCCTCCTCCTCCTCCTCCTCCTCCTCCTCCTCCTGTTCTTAGTCCTCCTCCTCCTCCTCCGCCTCCTCCTGCGACAACGCCCCCGCGCTGCCTCCTCCCCGCCCCTTCAGCAGCAAACGGGTTCGAGGCAGTTTTGCAGTTTTGGCTCGCGGCAGCATCGTTGCCGAACGGCGAAATGACAATCTCGGGTCCTCTGATCATGCTCTCCCGAGCCAGCCTGGCTATAGGTTCTCCTCCCCCTCCGACAACGCCCCCGCGCTGCCTCCTCCCTCCCCCCACCTTCAGCAGCAACCGATTTCGAAACAGTCTTTGGCTCGCGGCAGTTTCGTTGCCGAACGGCGAAATGACAATCTCGGGTCCTCTGATGATCTTATCCCGAGCCAGCCTGGCTATAGGTTCTCGTCCTCCGACGACGCCCTCGCGCTGCCTCCTCCCTCCCCCCCACCTTCAGCAGCAACCGATTTCGAAACAGTTTTTGGCCCGCGGCACCTTCGCTGCCGAACGGCGAAATGACAATCTCGGGTCCTCTGATTACTTTATCCCGAGCCAGCCTGGCTATAGACTCGCTTCCTCCGGCGACGCCCTCGCGCTGCCTCCTCCCTCACCCCCCATCAGCAGCAAACGAGTTCGAAACAGCTTTGGCGCGCGGCAGCATCTTTGCCGAACAGCGAAATGGCGACAGGGGGCTCAGCGAGAGGTATATCACAGGTCACGAACGGTCTTGAAAGGCTTGGGCACTGAACTGAATTCCTCCCTTCTCTTCCTCCCCCTCCACCCCTTCCATGAGGGGTTCTCTGGCGGGTCTCTGGCCGTTCCAGGAGGTCCCTGGAGGCTCCCAGGAGCTTTCTGGGCCCCGACGAAGACCAGCAGACGCCCAAGAACTTTGAGCATCGAGGCTCGAGCCCCTCGAGCCTGGAGCCTCGATCCCAGCAGACCTCGAGCCTCGAGCCTCGAGCCGACAGTGAGCCTCGAGCCTCGGTTTACGTCGGCCTTGTCCCTCCACGTGAGGAGTATGCAAAAAAGAGTCAAAACAGTAGTCTGGGGACGATGTTTGACCACTTTTCAACATTTTGGGTATAGTTGTTTGTACTTTTTTTTCGTTCGTCCAAAACCCGCCTGTAGGGGGACGCGCCCGACCTCCGCCTCGGTCCTTCCGGGCCCTGCCCGCCCCCCAGGCCGGGGCCGGAGGGCACCACCTGTGCGCCCGCGCCGACCCGGGCCAGGCCGAGCCCGGGCCCAGGATCGGCCCAGTTTACACAGTCGGCCCGGAGCAGAGTCGGGGCGCTGACTTAAGGAACCCCAAATAAGGAACGAGGCCCCTTTTCCCCAAAAGTTGAACTTCGATTTCCCATGGAAGCCCTCAGGGAAACCTAAGGAAAACTGCACAACAATCCAGGAACCCCGAGCCCCTCCCCAACGAAAAGGGTTCCTTCTTCAGCGCCCCGACTGTAGTAGGCTGACCCTGCTGGATCGAGGGTACCCTTGTATCCTGCGTCTCGCCCATGCCTCCTACCTTCTGGTGGCAGCGTGGCCCTCGGAAGGGTCTCGTGTCCTCTCGCGTGCCCTCTCCAGCCAAGTCCGACTGTGAGGTCGGGCGTGTCCCTCTTCAGGAGGAGTATTCAGAAATACTCTATAAATAGCCTGGGGGCGATTTTTCGATTAACAGGAATTTGTTTTTCAATACTTTTGGACTATTTTAAATTTTCCGTCCAAAACCCCCTATAGGAGGACAGGCCCGACCTGAGAGTAGTCCTCCCTCCCCAAGCCATGAGGGGGTTTGCACTGATCCTGGGCACGATCCGCCTGGCCAGAGTCGGTGTGGGTGTGCGCCCAGGCCCCCGACGTCGTGATCTTTTCATGATGTGGACCCCCAGAGGTCTGGACCCCTTCCTGGGAACACGTTTTCATCCTGAGTAGGGTTTTGACGGTCCCTTGGCCTGGCGAGGGCTCCCAGAGGCCGAAAAGCATCAACAGCCTTCCGTCGTGTTTTTTCACGACGCGAGGGTGTCAGAGGGGGGGGGGGTCGGATGCAACTCCTGAGAGGTTTAATTCAGCATCGGCGCTGGTAGTCGAAGACTGGCTGGCCTAATCAGGAAACATTGTTTGAAAAGTCCTCACGAACCCCCTTTAATCTGACTCAATCCAGGGCGTAATCCGGGTTAGTCCGGCTTCATGTCCCCTTGCTCGGGTTTCTTAGCCCCACAGCGTTCTTGCGATAACCTCTCAGGAGTTGCATCCTAAGTCGGGGGCCTCCTCCCAGGCACGCCGCGCGTCGTGCCTGCACCCTTTCATCCTCAAGATCCTGCTGGGACACCTCCTGATGGTGAACAGCCTCGCCTCGCTCGAGCAGTGGGAGCCGCGGCCCCACCTCTCCCCTCCCATGGATGATGGTGATGGTGGTGGCGTTGATTGTGGTGGCGATGATGGTGACCTTCTCCGCGCGATCGCAGCGGCATGCGACGCCGGCAGAGTCGCGCGTCGCGATGTCATGGTCGGTTTCTTCAGTTACGTCTTTCTCCTACGAGTGCCCTCGGATGCGGTGCTTGCGGTGGTTGTGATGGTGGTGGTTGTGACCACGACGACGATGGAAGTAGGATGATGATGATGATGATGACGACGACGACGGCGACGACCACGACGATGATGTTGATGATGCGGATGATGATTCGAACGTTGAGTCCTGATGCGAAATTGAATATGAATATGAATATGGTGCTGAGGACGAGGATGAGGATGGTGATGATGATGATGATGATGATGATGATGATGATGATGATGATGATAATCAGGAGGAGGAGGACGATGATGATGATGCTGATTATGATGCTGCTGATTATGATGACGATGGTGATACTGACGATGGTGTTATGCTGATGCTACTGCTGATGATGACGATGATGATGATGGTGATGCTGACGATGATGCTGATCATGAGGATGATGCTGATGATGTAAATTGCGACGATGCTGATGATGATGTTGATGATGATGAGGATGATGGTAGTGGTGATGATGATGCTGCTGCTGATGATGCTCATGACCAAGATTATGGTGAAGATGACGATGATGGTGATGATGCTGATGACCATGATGTTGACGATGTCGATGATGATACTGATGATGACGATCATGACGATGATGATGCTGATGATGATTTGGTGCTAGAACGACGACAACGATTCTTATTATGATGATGATGGTGATACGGGTGATGGTGATGATGATGCTGACACTGCTGCTGATGACGATGCTGATAATGATGATGATGGTGATGCTGACGAAGATACTGATCATGAGGATGATGCTGATGATGTAAAGTGTGACGATGCTGATGATGATGATGATGATGATGGTGGTGGTGGTGGTGGTGATGATGATGCTGATGGTTTTGATGGCAACGATGACGATGCTGACGATGATGTTGAGGATGCTGATGATCGTGATGTTCACGATGCTGATGATGATGCTCATGGTGATGACCATGACGATGATGATGGTGGTGATCACGATGATGATGATGCTGACGATGATGATGATGATGATGATGATGATGATGATGACGATGCTACTCTCATCAGGAGGAGGGTGAGGAGGAACAGAAGGAGAAGCAAAAGTGGGAGGAGAAGGAGGAGGAGGAGGAATTTGATGATGTTGATAATGCTGATGCTGTTGTTGTTGGTGATGATGATGATGATGATGGGGATGATGGTGATGGTGATGATGATGACCATTCTGGTGCTGATGCTGATGGTGATGATGCTGGCTACGACGATGATGATGATGATGATGATGATGATTATGATGGTGATCCTGATGATGATGATGATGATGATGATGATGATGATGATGGTCGGGATTGTGGTTGCGGTGGATGAGGACGACGATGATGACGATGACGACGATGATGGTTCTGCTGATAATGATTGTCGTGATGGTGGCTGATGATGCTGACGATGATGCTGATGATGATGACGGTGATGATGATGATGATGATGATGATGATGACCATCGTAATGGTGGTTGATGATGATGATGATGATGATGATGATGATGATGATGATGATGATGATGATGATGATGATGATGATGATGATGATGATGATGATGGTGACGAACACGACGATGACGATGATGATGTTGGTGATGATGGTAGCGATGATGTTTGATGATGGTGATGAGGATGAGGGTGGTGGTGGTTGTGATGATGATGAAGCTGCTGATGATGCTGATTATGCTGATGTTGCTGATGATGATGCTGGTGATGCTGCTGATGGTGATGGTAATGGTGATGATGATGTTGACGATGGTGGTGATTTGATGATGATGCTTGTGAGGCTACTGCTGCTGCTGAAGAGGATACTGATGCTGATTCTGCTGATGTTGGCGGCGGCCACGGTTGTAATTCGTGTGATGTGTGCTAGGATGATGATGATGAGGATGGCGACTTCGATGGCGATGGCGATGGTACTGCTGATGATGCTGCCGATGTTGATGGTGATGGGAAGGACGATGATAAACGGGATGAGGCTGAGGATCACGATCACGACGGCGATGCGCACTATATGCATGCATACGCAGTTAAGTATGTCTGTACGCATGTAAGTAGGCAGATCGATAAGTAGGTCTGTATGTAGGTATGTATGCATGTAGTGTACATATAGAGAGAGATATAGACACGTAGACTTGGATGCATGCCTGCATACACAGATGCCGTATGCACTGACATTTTGTCACCAATCAGCTCCATTATTGGGGAGTGTCTCTTTATCCGCCCTCCCACGCGGATCCGTTCTGGGCCTCTTCCCCTCTCCCCCCCGTCTCCCCCGCTCGCTTGCTCGAATCGCGACCCTCGAGACTTAATCGTCAGTCCCCGGAGACCTGCGGAGGCCTCTGGACGCCCGAGGGCGCCCCAAAAACTTGCGAGCCTTTTGACCTTCGAATCTCGATCCTCGAAGCCCGAACCGCGATCCTCGATCTTTCCCCTCCCCTAACCATCGAGGTTCGAGGATCGAGGAATCGAGGATCGAGGTTCGAGGAGGATCGAGGAGGAGGAGGATCGAGGTTCGAGGAGGTTCGAGGAGGATCGAGGAGGATCGAGGATCGAGGTTCGAGGATCGATCCTCGATCCTCGAACCTCGATCCACCTGTTCGCTCCCTAACCATCGTGCCTCCGGCGGGCAGCCGATACGTGGTCCCACCAACGAGCGCTGGTGCCCATACATCACCAGTTGCAGAACTTGCCCTTGCAAGACGGCCAAGGGCCAGGAGAGGTTGCCTCGAATTCGCGGGGGTGCATTCCCCCGTCGAGGAGGTGCGCCGTGCTCCGTGAGCCGTCACGCGAGCAGCGGATGTGTGACGCTGCGCGAACGCTGCCAGTCTGTAGGCCCGACGAGGCCGTCGAGTGCAGAGCTAGCCTGGAGGTTGAAGCTGGCGCTGTGACCCAGTCGGGTTGTGGGGGCAGCTGCTGCGAGAGTGCCTGTGCCGAGCGGGGCCTTGGCTCCGTCTCGTGGTGGGTGCTCTCGTGGGCCGTCTCTGCTACATCTTCTGGCTCAGCAGAGAGCTTCAACTAGCTTCCATCGCCCCCCCTCGCCCTCCCGCTCCCCCCGTCGCCGCAGGGGGCTGATCTGCATGCCTTCGCGCTCCGCAAGGAGCAACAGCACACTCCTGTCCCACCCGCTCACCCACTCCCACCCTTCCCAGCCGCAGCGCCGGAGTGGCAAGGGAATGCGTGCTGATCTGGCGAGCGGTGGGACAGGGCAGACGCGCCGCCCTCTCCGACTTTTTTTTTTCGTCGGCGAACGTTGGCTTGGCGCCCCCCCTGGGCCTATCCTCGCCCCCGGCGGTTTTTCGGGCCGTTACTCGGCTCTCCGGCCGCCGTTGGAGACGGCCTGGGCACCCCTCGACTGCTCTCGGCGAGGCGCGGCTGCTGAAGAGCACCCCGAGGCTGGAAGACCGCCCAGGTCCAGCGAAGGCCCAGAGTCCTCAGAAGCATCTGACCTCAAGTCGGGCGTGTTCCCCTACAGGGGGATTTTCGACGACAATGAGAAATGCCCCCAAAATATCCCAGAATGGCAAAACAAACAAATAAAATAGTCCCCCTGTAGAGGGACAGGCCCGACTGAAATCTAAGCTCGGGCCCCCCCTCCTCGGTCCCCAGACTATTTTTTGATTATTTTCGAATCTATTCCCCCTGTAGAGGGACAGGCCCGACTGAAATCTAACCTCGGCCCCCCCCCCCCCCCCGATCCTGCCCTCCCCCTGACGTCGTGACCTGGCGTCGTGAGGAGGATGGAGGAGGAGGAGGAGGAGGAGGAGGAGGGGAGGAGGAGGAGGGAGGAGGAGGAGGAAAAGGAGGAGGAGGAGGAGGAGGAGGAGGAGGAGGCGGAGGAGGAGGCGGAGTGGGAGACGAACGAGAAGGAGACGGAGAAGGTGGGAAAGGGAAGGAGGCACGGACGAGAAGAACAACCCATTCCACACGCCGACAGGGTCGGCGGATTTTTATTTTTCAATATTCCCCCTGTAGAGGGACAGGCCCGAGTTGATGCTACCCTCGAGCCCCCCCCGATCCCCCCCCCCCGACGTCAGGCCCTGGCGTCGCGACCCGGGCAGAGAGGCCTCGACCGCTGCCCCCAGGGGGGGGGGCAGTGGCCTGCCCCCTGGGGCCCCGTGCTCGACGGTGGCCGTCCCGGGGCCCGCGGGCGCGCTCCAGAGACCGACCATCGAGGCAGAGCGCCAGGCATGAATCAGGCAATCCTGTCGTCGTCGTCGCCGCCGCCGTCGTCGTCGTCGTCGTCGTCGTCGTCGTCGTCGTCGTCGTCGTCGTCGGAGGAGGAGGAGGAGGAGGAGGAGGAGGAGGAGGAGGAGGAGGGAGGAGGAGGGAGGAGGGAGGGAGGGAGGAGGGAGGAGGGAGGAGGGAGGAGGAGGAGGAGAAGAGAGGAGAGGAGGAGGAGAGGAGGAGGAGGAAGAGGAGGAGGAGGAGGAGGTGGAGGGAGGAGGAGGAGGAGGAGGAGGGGGAGGAGAGGGGGAGGAGGATCGTTTTCTTTTTTCTTCTTCTTCTTCTTCTTCTTCTTCCTGGTTTTGCCGATCGGCGCGGGCCCTCGCACGCCCCCTCCACCCCTTGTGGAGTTTGTGGAGGAGGTCTTGTGGAGGCAAAGCGCCAGGTATGAAGCAATCCTGTCGTCGGAGGCCATCGTGCTCTTCTTCTTCATTCGGAGGTGGACAGACCTCCTACCCTGACACGTCGATTGAGGAATTGGCCGTTTTCGGTTCGCGAGAGGGCGTCGCGGCCGTCGTTTTTGCGGGCCCAGGTCCGTCGATTTCGGTCCCAGGCCGTTTTCACTAAGGGGAGGTGAGGGAGGCTTGTCCACCGCCGAGTCGAGGCAAAGCGACAGGCATGAAGCAATCCTGTCGTCGGAGGTGATCGTTCTCTTCCTCTTCCTGGCTCTGCCGATCGGCGCGTGCCCTCGCGCGCCCCCTCCCCCCCCGAGCAGGGGGGGAGGAGCAGGAGGAGGGGGAGGAGGAGGAGGACGAGGAGGAGGCCGAGGACGAGGACGAGGACGAGGAGGAGGAGGAGGAGGAGGAGGAGGAGGAGGAGGAGGAGGAGGAGGAGAAGGTCCTGGCTGCTTGTTGGCACCCGTCTTGCTCAACACAGGTGCCAAGGCCTGAGCGGGGGTGGAGCCCTCCCTGCCTGCTCGACGATTTTGGCACCCCGCCTGCTCGAATTACGAGGACGAGGAGGAGGAGGAGGAGGAGCAGGAGGATGAGCAGGAGGAGGAGGAGGACGAGGAGGAGGAGGAGGAGGAGGAGGAGGAGGAGGAGGAGGAGGAGGATGGGGTCCTCCCCGCAGGACGCACTGCTGCAAGCAGTCGTACTACAGTCAAAAACCCTAATAAGGACGCGCGACTTTGCTCAGGGTACCCTTGCGTCCTTGCTCTTCCTTGCTCTTGCGTCCTTGGGGTCTTCGTCGTCCGCCGCCCGAAAAATCCCGACTTCGGCTTCCAAGGGTCTTGCGTCCTTACCGCGCGTCCTTATTAGGGTTTTTGACTGTATGCAGAGGTCCGGAGCCAGACCCCCCTCCTCCCCCCCTTCCGCCCAATGCCCAAACGCCTAACAAGAAAACGGCCACCTGGGTTGACGGCCTCTTGCGCCGTCGTGGCCTGATCGTTTGCCCAACAGCTGAGATTGTCCAAGACCGTCAGCGGCCGCTGTGGGGCAGGCGCCTTCATGTCTCGAGCGGGCAACGTCCGCGGCGACGCCGACAGGGAGCCCTTCTCAAAACGAACGATAACGTCTGCCCGTATTCGTGCCCACATATACGGAAAGGGAGGACATTCGTAGCATTCCGCGTTCGCATGATGGCAGTGGGCTTCTGTTTCCTGCTCCCGACGTGTCGCCTTATTCGAATAAGGCGTGCAACTGCTCCTGCACCGACTCCGTGACGCACGCATTTGCCGTAGCAGTGCGGGACCAGGTTTTTCTGTGATTTGCCGGGCGGGCTGCACGAGGGCGCATGTGATGTCACAGCAACAACTCTTTCCCTTACGCTGGTCGTTGAAAGTTGGTATCTTTGGATCCCCAGATCCCAATCTACTTCAACCGCCTTCCTACTTCAAGAACCGACATGCTTGTGCTGTATTCTGTTATTCTCTGGGGGGACCTGGTCCCAACCCACTAATATTCGCCTTCCCACTCCATGTCTCTACCCACTTCTTCCGACCGACGTGTAGCGTCTGCCCGCTTCGTCCCCACTCTTTCCGTACCCATTTGGATCGTGCCAGACCCCGCTCTTCGTTCGTCGGGCAACGCCGGCTCGACGCCTTCTCGCGCAGTCGCGTGGCCTGCCCGGCCCGCCCCCCTGCGGGCGAGCGCCTCCAGGAGCTCGAGCCCGGCTTCGGGGGCGCAGCGCCGGCCGTCCGCTTGGTGCTGGCGCTCTGCTTCGGCTGGGACGGCATGGCCCCGTTGGGCGCAGCTC